AATAATACTCGGCATAAATCACAAAGACATAATCCAGAATATCACAATACACAAGTTAGCACATAAGACACCTCAGTCGTACAACGATACCACTCTTGGTAAGTATAGTGAGAAGACTCACCTGGTAAGCTAGCAAGCAACAACTTTGTACACGGAATCTCGAACTAGCCTCCGCCTAACACATAGAATAATTGTTTCTAATTAATACTCCACTCATACTCAAAATATACCAAGGGTTGTTCTCTCTCTCTTTCTAACTCTTGGAATGGATAAAAGACCATTTTACCCTTCCATGGTCTCCATTACTCATGTCGACCAAAATCCTAAAGTTAACAGAAGTTAAACTCGATTTAACAGTCCATGTTTGACCCGACTCGTTGAGTCCACTCGTTTTCCTCAGAAGTCTCGAGAAGGTCCAACTCAGCTCGTCGAGTTGACCCCTAACTCGCCGAGCTTTCGCATGTTCAAGCTCATCGGGACAAACCCTAACCGACTCGTCGAGTCGGCTCATCGACTCGGCGAGTTCATTCAGACTCTTTTCTCATTCACACGATTTTATGGCAGAGAACCTTCCCAAACTCTAGACCTAAAATCTAAAGGCTCGTTTATCACGTAAAGCCACGAGCTTTACGTCCATGCATGGCACTTTGGGCTTGAAATGCCAATAACATGCTTTAATAAGGGTTTTTCACTCAAGAGCTCTATTAAGGCTGAAAAAAATAGGGACCTTTGGACTCTAGGGACCTCACAAGGTCCAGATCTGAAGTCCAAACCTCCATATGAACTCAATACCCTCAAAGTCCCAATATTAGATGGAAAAAGCCCTAACTCTAAAAATCATGAGATCTACCCAATAACATGAGAAAGGTGTGAACTCTTACCTTCCACAGAAGCTCTTTGATGGAATAACCATGGATCTAACAACCCCTTCTCGTCCCTTGGCTTGGAATCCTTCCCTTCTCTTCAAAAGATGCACCAAACACTCAAGGTTAGCTCAAATACTCACTTTTAGCTCAATGGCCGATTAGGGTTTTCTCTCAGTGAAGTTGGGAAGCTGATGAGCCACAAATGAGGCTATAAGTGTCCTTAAATAGGTCCCAAACCTGGGGATTTAGGGTTTCATCACTCAGCGTCTACTCGGCGAGTCGACCCTCGGACTCATCGAGTAGGTCATTAATCCCACGTGGCCACACGCGACTCGACTCGACAAGTTATGACACCAACTCGTCGAGTTGCTCAATAGTCCTCAAAATGAATAAATAAATAATATATTTGGGAGTCCGGATGTTACAATTACACTTGTAGTCTTCCAAAAATGTTAGAAGAACAAAATACTAAGACTATCATATCAAAGAAATGTAAAACAAACAAATTAAAGAAGTCATAAACTACTAAAACATCAGAGTGCTCGAATGTTTTCAATATTGACTAATGAATTATGAAAAACAAAACATAAATCCTACAAACAATACGCCAAAGAGAGGAGCTGTCAAAAACGTTTGAGGAAGAAAATCAAGTAAACTATCAACTGGAATTAAAGCTTCACTGATCGCATATTCAATGGAATTAAAAATCAGAAGGAGAAATAGAAAATCAGATGTCTGATTTAGGGATTAAGGGATAAGCCGAGATGGATACCAGCAATATCATTAAATCAAAATTAGATGCATTTAAATTCTAATTTCCTCATCTTATGTCCGACTCCTCAATTTCAATTTAGAGGGGTGCGATGGTTAGATTACCAACATGACGCATATTCTTTTTTTAGCCGCTCAATTCTCATTCTCCTGAATGTACGTACCCATAACAACAATTGAAAATTTGATGCCCCAAACTCGTTGATGCCCTGGGCTATGGCCCAGCTCGCCCGCCCCTCGGTCCGGCCCTGTTCAACATTTTACAATAAAGGACATACCATGAAATATGTGTTACAAATTATGATAGTGACTTAATTTGTTATTTATGTCGGTAGGGTAAAGAATAATCATCATTTATTTTTTTTATTTGTGATTAACATCGTCAATTTTCATGATCGACTTTAATATGTGTCACTATATGTAAAAAAAATAATAATGATAAATCATTAAACATGTGACTAAAGATAATTTATGTTCACAGCTTAAATACATTTGTATCTCTAAAAATAAACAATGGTTGTGATAAAATTTGTAAACGGTGACTATAAATATTTTAGGATGAAGAGTTAATTTCTTATTTGTGCATATATAATAAATAATAATAGTCAAAATAACAAATAAAGATAGTCACTATAAATATTTTATGGTCAACGTTGAACCTCTTGTGGGTGACTAAATGTAAACATTTGTCACTGTATAGGAAAAACCCATCACTATAACTATTTTATGGTGACGATTAAATTTGTAATTTGTTTGTAAGCATAACATTAGTCATGATAAAATATTAAACATGTGACTACAAGTTCTCAATACTCATAATAAAAGAAATAATATGTGACTATAGTTATTTTATGGTCACCGTTTAATTACTTGTGCGTGACTAAATATACACAATAGTCTTAATATAAGAATATACTCATGACTAAAACTATTTTATGGTGACTATTGTAACCTCTGGGTGACTGAATGTAAATATTTGTCATCGTATAGGAAAAAACCGTCATTATAACTGTTTTCAGGTGACGATTAAATTTGTGAGTTGTTTCTAAATGTAACAAAAGTTACGATAAAATATTAAACATGTGACTATAAGTTCTCAATAGTCATAATAAAAGAAATAACACATTATTATAGTTATTTTATGGTCACCGTTTAATTGTTTGCAAGTGATTAAATGTATACAATAGTCTTAATATAAGAAATATACTCATGACTAAAACTATTTTATGGTGACAGATTAAGTTGTGATGTATTTGTAAACCTAATAATAGTCACGATAAAATATAAAAGATAAAGCTAGTGGCTACAAGAACTTTTTGGTATCGGTTAACTTGTAATTCTTGACAAAAGTACACAATAGTCATAATAAAATAAATAAAAAGTTACTATAAGTATATTATGATGACGGTTATAAAAAAAGAAGATTGATACAACTCCAAAAATCTCTACCATATAGTGATAGTTGTTACCTACATCAACAGTTTTTCATAGGTTATAATCACCATAACTTATCAATAATCATGCCACCTATAGTAAGACTTTCAGTGAAAGAGATAACTGCCATTAATTGTCTATGGTCAAGGTTTTTTGGTGTCACCAAAAACAATGTTTATACTATAAATATATGTGGAGCCCAAGATGGTCTCTCCAAAAGAACCCTTGTGAAGAGAAGGGAGACCCAATATATATACACACTTATAAGACCGTGTCGCACCAATATAGGATATACTAACACTCCCCCTCAGAGTCGGAGGTTCGATGAGGATAGATAAGGATGTGCTGAGCCACGGGGGTGCAAGACTCCGGCTCTGATACCATGTGAATATATGTGGAGCCCAATATTGTCTCTCCTAAATATCCATTGTGGAGAGAAGGTAGACTCCAACATATATACCCAATTATAAGACCGTGTGGCACCAATGTGAGATATACTAACATATACTAGTGTATATATCCAACTTCATGAAAGAACATATCATTAGGTTTACCAATTCGGGTACTTGTAGCATGTCTATAAAACGGAAGACTCAGAGGACGCCCGTTTTTTATCACCTGCTGTGAGAGTTTCAAGATTTTTGCTTTCCCTCTGGTTTCTTTTGTGGAATAACCGTAATCATAATAACAAATTATTAGCCAAAATATCTATAACATATAAATAAATAGAGTAAATAAATAAATTATAATAAGACTTACGATCCAACTCATGTTGGCCTCCCCCTCTATCGTGGGTAGGTGGTGGATCCTCAATACCATCTTTGCTATGGCCTCGGCCCATGACAATAGTCATAAGATACATAAGAATGATCCAAAGTGATATCATTGCCTGAAAAGTTATAAAATATAGAATACAAAATACAATATGAATATAGTTTTTCTATTACAATTTACAACATGAAAATACTAACAAAGTTTCCCGTTACAAATAGAAATTACAATAAGTGTCTTGGAAACAAATAGAAATTACTACTCTTTTAATCAGAATCCCCCTTAGATACTTCAATGTCTCTTTCAGACCCACCTATGTCATATAATCAAGATCGATATCATCATAATCAGTCTCGTTCTCAGCCACTTCATTTCAGTCTCGCCTCCAGTATCGCCCCAGTATCATAATGAAGAATGTTCTAAAAGTATTGGCTGAAGTCGATTGCAAGTCTAATAGTAGATAAAGAGATGTTGTGACCGACGTCAAGATTTTCAACTAAGTCATTGCCAACATTTTAGAAAGAACCATTGTGAACATCTTCGTGACAACCATCGTTCAATGGTAGATCTCAAATTTTTCAATGATTAACATTCTTAACAACCCATTGATGGTTATCGTACTGGCAATGTGTTTTTCGGGAAAACTAGTAATGTGCAACATACAACATGTTGTCCATTTAAAAGGATGACTACCGGAGCAAATACGCATTAATAACACATGGTCATTTATCCTAGTTTGTAAATATCTTTTGCATCTGACAACCATCCGGTTAAAATACCCTAGTTTGGTAGATATTTTTTGCATTCACAATCTTCTAGTTAAAAACTCATTTTATCATCGATATATTAAAAAGAATCTTCCAATTAACTTTTACTTAAAATAGAATATATCCATCAAAATGCATTGATGTCCATGTACTAATTTTTTTTTTTATGGTGAGCCAGTAATATGAAGACATACAAAATAGGAATATGTACTACTTCAAATCACTCATCCAAAATAGGAATATATACTACTTCAAATCATTCAGGTAAGGAAAAAGACCTGGGTGGGGTTCTTGGGGAGGTGGTAGCTACTAGCTAGGGGTATGGATCGGTGATGCCATGTCCGAAGGGGTCTATAAATAGGGCAGTGCCCATGCCATGCATAAACAAACCAAACAAAATCATAACTTGTTTTTAAATACCATTTCAGACTAAACAATGGCAGCAACGGCAATACGTGTGTTCGGGAACCCAATCACTCATGGAACTTGTGCCCAAAGGGCCCTAGCTGCTAAGAACTACCTGAACGCGGATGGAAAGCTCGACCAGGTGTTGTTGCTGTCAAACCAGTCGATAAAAGTAGCGGCAGGAAAGACAAACGCAGTGGCTGCGGGCACCACGATTTGCAAGGTTTGCAACGCCACCGGTAGTACTATCAGGTACGTCACTGCATACGATTGGAGCGGAAAAGTTGCAGGGCATTACCCAGTGACTATCCAGAACGGCCAGTGGGCTGTATTTGAGCATGTTGGCACTAGTGGTCCAAACCAAGGATCAATTGGTGCTCTTGTGTACAACATCGACGATTTCTGTGACTCCATGATCTCTTGGAACAACCCTTGCAAAACAACCCGAGGAGGAAACAATACTGTAAGTTTTATAACTGATTTAGTAAGTAACGATTCTTACTCATTTAGATCACATAACTGCAATAAATTGAAATATTTTTCATATTAATGGTGCAGGCATACTGTGAGATGAACGATCCTGGATACTTTGATCGTTGTGACTGGCATGAAATCTATGCAAAGTTGATCGCCTCTGGTAGTGTAAGCAAAACAAGTATGGTAGATTATGAAACCAGAGTGACTATTGATGCAGGAGGCAATTCGCCTAGTTACAAAGCCATTTTCTATGTTCACGGTTAGACAACGGTACAACACCACCCACATACATAATAAAAACCAGACTGTTCTGCTATGGCTTTGTGCAAAACTAGGGCTAGCAATAAACAAACTTAGTAGTCTGGGTTTGGCTTAATGTTAACATAAATAAAACGTTGTCTTGGGTCGGTTTGTAGATGACTGAAAGTATGTTAACTTATAATGTAAGGATGTATTTGTGCTTGTAATACTAATAAGCCAAACTTATTAGAATGGGATTGGCTTAATGTTAACATAAATAAAACTTTGTCTTGGTATTCGTCTGTACGTAGATGACTGAAAGTATGTTAACTTATAACATATCTTAAATGAAAAAAAAAAATCATCATTTCTACAAATCTGGCGCCGCTAACTGGCTTGATGCATTGGGTTTACATCCCCATGTGGGTTTGAGGTCGGGGTTTCAAACCCGGTAAAGCACAACTTGTGCGCCTCTTGCAAATATGCCCCATGTGTGGGGGAATTTTCTCTGGAAATTCCCTTGGGGGCTGGGTTTGCCCGCTTTGCGGAGCTCGAACTCGGGGTCTACTCTGAAATAATGGGTAGAGGCTTACGTTGAATCATTTGTCGTTTCCAAAAAAAAAAAAAATAGTTCCACATGTCACCATTAATGTGTCGCCACCAATAACTCAACACTAGGGATGTAAGTGAGCCGAGCTACCGGTGAGCTACTTGGGATCGCTTCGTTAAAAGCTCAACTCGAGCTCGAGTTAAATGAGTCCGAGCTCGAGCTCGAACTCAATTTAGGACTCATTTATTAAACGAGCTCGAGCCCGAGTCTCATTAGTAAGTTCACGATTCTAAACGAGCTTCTATAGTGTGTGTGTGTGTGTGTGTGTGTGTATATATATATGTGTGTGTGTGTGTGATGGTTCAATTTAGAAAAAAATGTTGAAAACAAGGGAATTAATTTGGGTCACTCGGTTCGAATCTTCCGCTTAAGCGTTCCAGCGTACCGGGACGATGGAACAGATCAAATTCATATATAAATATATAGATGTATGTTCAAATGAGAACATTCCTTAAATTGAGAACAAATTTGGTTCAACACGCGTGCCTTTTAAATTTTAATAATTAGAGGGCGTCTGTGTAAAATCAACGACACCCACTCTGATGTACGCCCCCCCCACCTCGCGCGCCTAGCACCGCCCCCTCCTGTTATGCCCTTCCGACAGTTGCCTTTTCACTCTCCTGATCTACTACAACCTCTATTCCTCCCACCATCGGAAACAATCTCTCACCGTCTTCGGCTCAGATGCTTCCCTGTTTTGACCGCCTCCGACTTCAACATTGTAGTTGACTCCTCCGGCTACAAAGACTTTTCTTTCTTGTTCGATTAAAGTGTAACAACCCTAAATGAAGTTGCACATATACTAAATCAGTCATTTACTTTAATAGCTTCAATTGTCAATACGCATCTCATACCTACAACCATGGTCGACGCACTCGTCAGTTGTACTTGAAACATGATCGTCGGGGTTTTATCATTCGAGAAAAACACCGGTCCATCCCTGTCCAATTTCCACAGTCAAGACAAATTGAAGCTTTTTGAAGCACATTCATTTCTTTAAACAGTAGCAACATGTTTCTCTTAAACAAGTACAGGGGTGCAATCCTTAATCTATGTCTCTTAAATTTCATGCTTCCACCCCTATACACATGTTTCTCTTATTTTTCTGAACTTGATGCTTGAGATGGAATGGTTTTAGATATACTCATAGGCTTGCAAAAGTGAAAAAAAAAGTCTTGCACTACAGGTGTTCGATGAAATGTCTGAGTGAACATTTTTGCTTGATAAGGCCATTTGCATCCCTATAGCCGAAATAGTTATCATACCACTCATATACAAACTCATTCGATATATCAAACTCCAAAAAAACCATCATGATGATGACAAATTGTTGTTTCGATCAAAAGTTCAAAGCATATCCCGTCATACCGATAACAATTGCAAAAGAAGCTAACTTCTTGGTTCACTATTCCTGGTTCTCTCACTTATAGCCGACCTCATTGACAACACTACTCAAGGGTGATTAACTTGTTGGCTCGATAATCGAAAAGAATTACACTTAACTACTAGCAATCAGATGCAACCGAAATTCAGTTCAGGACACTGATTTTGAAGCAATTCCTTGAGACATTTCAACAAGCATTTGGTGGGATGCCATGCATAACCAGGTTTGGATGTTCTTACATGTTGCAATCACCTCAAATGTAAACCAATTTGGTTCTATCCATCCTAACTTCATCAGATAGTGCCAATGTTTTTCTCAACAAAATTGATACGAATTCGATTCAAGGGTTTAAGACCTGGCAGTTGTGATCATGTATATAAACGAGACAGTGAACCTTTAAAGAAGAAAATAAACCAGGTTATGTTTTTTCTTTAAAAAAAAGGTAAAATAAGAAGTAACAACTCATCAAGAAAAGTAATTATCTCCATATTGTTTCGCACTTTTTACACTTGCAGCTAAACAGAAACAATTGTATCTAGGAAACGAAGTGATAAGAGAAATGGATTAATTCCTAAAAGAAAATGTGACTCTTTTTCTGTAAAGTCGGGCTTGTCAAGCTTCAGTTCATTTGTTGGTGGAATTAACATACTTGGTATGTCTTTTTTAGCAATGAATTATTATTTGTGAACACACTTTATAAAATGTTATTTGATTTTTGGCCATGGGTATATGGTTAAAAACACGATATTTGTGAATTTGGAAAGTATGTGGAAGAAGGGTCACTAAATGAGCTTCTTGATGGTAGTTACAAGTGTCCTGATTCCATTAAAGACAAGGAAAATAGAACAAAATTTCTAAATGGAAGTATTTTGCTACGAGCTAGAGAAACTTGCTCAATTCGTCAACTTTAGAAGCTTGGTCAAACTAGTCAAACCCCAAATGTGGCACTTGTAGATGGTAAGCATAACCATAATGTTTCTTCTTGCTTACCAAATGTTGTCATTTCTGGAGCTAACATGAATGATGACAATAAAGGAGATGTAGGAAATTCATCTTCTTTTGACAAGGTTAGTCCTATTTTACTGTTTTTTATTCTAGTGTTGTATGGTTAAAGAGAAAATTACAAATTTGGTCCCTATATTATACTCATTTGTTTTTGTCATAAATTTTTCTTTGTGGTTTCATTTTGTTGTAGTTTTGGTCTTTGTGTCGTGAAATCTAACTACTTAAGTATTAGTTTAAATGCCCATGGTTGCTATTTTTATTTAAATTGGGTGTTACCTACATTTTCTATCTTCTTATTATTAGTACAATTAAAAACAAATTTGTTAGTTTTATATGTTTAATAAAAAAATTGCAATTGATGTTTAAATAAGATTGCTAATGTAAAAGGTTATAAACTATTGCAAATAATTTGTCTATAAAAGAAAAAAAATGTAGTTTAATAATAAAATTGACTAAATTATGAATTTGGTGGTGTGCTTTCAGATTTGTTCCAAGTGAAAAATGACCATTTAAAACTAACTATATCTTTATATGTAATACATTAACATTAGTAAGTAGATTAAGAAACAAAATTATTTTTTTAATGATGACAATCGTTCTATTATTACACGAAAGCCTTACTAATTAGTAATTACTTTATTGATTGGTTATTTAAGGTTGAGAATTCATGCACGGTTGTTACTAACCACACAAATATACTTAAATTATATGTGATTAGATATATAATCAGATGTGATTAAATAGACAAGACCAATTATTGAATCGAAAACTCAAAAATGATTCTTCTCCATATAAATCATATGTGATTAAATACACTAGAAAACTATTGAATCAAGAACGCAAAATGAATCTTGTACTCATAAATCATATATGAGTACAAAAACACGAAAATAAAGATACTTCATATAAATCATATGTGATTAAATACATATAATCACACGTAATTATATGTATCCAATCACATATGGTTTATGTGGACAATATTCATTTTCGCGCTCTCGATTCAATAATTGTTATGTGTCCACTTTAAAAATATTTGCTTAAATACATTTAATCACATGTGATTATATGTATCTAATCACATATGATTTTATTCAGAAAAAACAATCTTATCCATATAAATCATATGCGATTAGATGTATATAATCACATGTGATTATATATACGAGAACAACTATTGAATCAATGATGTGAAAACAAGTTGTGTCCATATGAATCATATATGATTAAATATATACAATCACGTGTGATTATATTTATCCAGTCACATATGATTTATGTGGACAAGATTCATTATCGCGTTATCGATTTAATAATTATTAATTGTCAACTTTAATCATATGTTATCAAATATATCTAATCACATGTGATTATATGTATCTAATCACATATGATTTATATGGACAAAAAAGAATATTACCAACATAAATCATATGTGATTAGATA